CTTTGTGTCAGTTGGATCTGGATTGAACCTATCAAAAAAAGTAGGTAGCGAGTGGCATCAAGTATTCAAATGATTGAACTCTGGATCTGGAACACGCAGAGCCAAGAAATTGCTCCAAACTAAATTTGAGGCCAAAATTCCTCATTCGATGTTCCTCCATTTATGACGACTTACAGTGTTATCTTAACTTGATCTACACATGGAACGATATATAGATCGTATCATCGTATCACATCTTATGAAGACAAAAAAAATGAGAAGTACTCTGTATCGACAGATGGTACCAGAGTATCGAACTATCAATCAAGATGACTGTCTGGAGTGGGACATAAAGTATAATTGTAGGATTAAGATATGCTGGGCAAGAGACATTATACATCTGGCTACAACTTAGCTTCTTTTGGCAATGAAATTGTAATGATAATGATCTGGTACCTCTAGAGAAATCGATACAAAAAGAGATCCCCCATTCCCAAAGGTAGCAACTCTTCTGGTTGCTCATTCCAGATAATGTGCCATCGTTCAGACAAATCACAATTGTTTTGTAAAATTTCAAAAAGGAAGTGCACCCTTCAGTTATGCATCTAACTTTGGACTGTGCCTTAGAGAACCAGCGCAACTCTAAATCTAGAAGTATTCTTTTAAATGTGTGCAGACAAACTGAATTTGTTTTCCAGGATCAGATTTGGGACATGATTGGATATTGAAATTAGAGATAAAATTCTGAACAAAAAAACTCAGATAAAAAGCTACATTTAGGCAGTCAGGTCTTGATTCATGATATACATCAAATTCATCCCTTTGATTGGCCATTTGATACTACTCCCTCCGTCCCAAAAAGAGTGATGTTCTGGGATTTTTCAGATAGATTAGTGGAGAAGAGAAATGTCTCTAATACCCTTAGTTTGTTACACATGATTTCCTTAAAAGAAGCGATGCCGCGTGGTTTACTTCCTAATTAAGACACGAGGCATCCAAGCATGTAGAGATCCGCGGGAGGCAACAAACAGTAGCGCATGTCAATTGGTAATTTGGCGCAGGATCTGTTGGACATGCATGAGTCGACATATTCTTTTGTGGGCCAACACCATATCTAAAACTCATAACATCATTTTTTCTGGGACAAATTTTAAATCACAGAACATCACTTTTTCTGGGATGGAGGGAGTAGAATTTTGTACACGTATACTTCAGACAATAATAATTGATAGATAGAGATTGATAGGATAATACTATTGATCAAGAGCTTGATATAGTGTCTGGACTCTGGATGAACAAATCTAGGAAGATCACCCGCTTAAACAAGGTCACAGTGGCATCATGTTAGGAGAAATTGATGAACCAGCTGAAGCTTGCATGATTAAATGACCCTTTTTTCCATAAAAAAAAAGACCCTTTTTGTATAATAAGGAGGGTTCAATACGTCTGTTTAGATCTTCCTTGCAAGCAATGAGACTACTTAATGGATTCCTTGTAACCCTTCTCTCTTTATCTGAGTCACTGGTAACCTCCCTCACCCCATGAACTTCACCACATTGTAGATTGAGTCTGACACCATAACTATTCCAGGCTTCCACCTAGTTTAATAGTGCATAGCAGCCCAGTTTATTTGTTTTACATATCAAGTGCTCCTACTATTATTTTGTCACTTAACATGATTCACGTGCCTAATTTATTTTAGTTTGCCTATCTAAAGGTAAGAACAAAAACCAAATCTGACATATTGAAACTCTCCAACTTTGTCATTTCGATCCCTAACCCTCAACATCGAACACATGTAGCGGGCAGTGCAATTCGTTACTGTCCCACGGACCAGAAATATACACATCAAACAGCAATCCCCACCCCCAGCACCGAGTTTAAACGCTTGATTCACAGCCAACTAATTACGCGCAAAGCTAAACATGGATAACTGGAGAACAGAAGTTGCAGAAACGGAAGGCAAAGAGAGTACGAAGCCGCGAGCTAACCGTGCGGAGACGGAGTAGGGGGCTCTGAGGAGGGCGGCTCGGGCCCGGCGGCGGCTCGACAGCGTATTCCGGGCAAGGTACGACAGGCTGCGCCCAGAGCAATCGGGGAAGGCGCAGCGGCGGCGGCCGCCACTGGTGCTGGCCAGAAGCGGAGACGGGGAAGGGAAGGGCGCAGTGGCCGGAGGCGCGAGACGGAGGAGGTGGCGGTGGATGCGGGGGCAGCTGGAGGGAGGGTCGGCGTCGCCATCGGGAAGGTTCGTCTGGAGAGTAGGGAAACGCGTGGCTGTCCGGAGGTTTGGCGACTGGAGTTGTGGTCACTGTCTGGTTTAGGTCCTTGCTGTTCACCTCCAGCGGGTGGTGGACGAGCTCTCGGCTGTCGCCCGCCGGTCGTCGCTGCTGCGAGCCTGCGATGCGGGTGGTAGGCTGGTAGCTGGGTGGGGAGATCTACTCCATCCATCATAAACTGTAAGACGTTTGACTTTTTTGTCCTAAGTTTGATCACTCGTCTTATTTAAAAAAAAATATATACAAACATAGTCAAATTTAAGTTATTCTTAAAGATTTTTTATTAATAAACCAAACCACGACGAAAAAAGTGATATTTTATACAAATTTTTAAATAAGACGAGTGGTCAAACTTGGTGTCAAAAAAGTCAAACGTCTTACAATTTGGGATGGATTGAGTAACTATTTGCCACTCTTACGGTGGCTGTCTCTCCGTTTGCTAACTTTATCATGCCAATTACAAAATTGCCTGAGAAAACAGTAACCTTGCTAATATTTTGCCATTTTCGACGACGTGGCACGCCACTTCATGCCAGTACAAGATGGAACTTGAGCGTCCCCGTCGCCCGACTAAACGGCGCTTAGCGACTCCCGTCGATCCCCATCTCTCGCTAGTGGAACCCGATTATCGGTACCTTCTTCTTCTTGCGCGTGAGGAAGCAATCGAAGGTCTTGCGGCCTAAGCGTCGCGCTTGGTGAGGAAGCTCCCGAGGTTGAAGAGCTTCTTGACGGTGGGCGGAAGGAGTGCTCGAACTCCGGCGTCGGGTATGGCCCGACGGCCTATGCAAAGCCTGATCCGGGCTCGATCCACGGCGACACGAGCGGTGTCGGACGCCGACGACGCCGAGGCGGTCGGCCGAAGAAGAAAGGCGCGGCGCCGACGATGCCGTCGGGGTAAACGACGACGCCGGCGGCCGCGGCGTGGCGCGTGGTCGTGAAACCCGCCGTGTTTCGCCGAGGTGACGACGACGAGCGTCTCCTCCCATCGCGGCCCCGACCGCAGCGCCCGTACACCTCCTTGACGAACCGGCGGCCTTCGCCACGCGTCATGGGGACGGTGGTCGTCGTTTCCGGGAGGATCTCGGTCGGCGAAGCGCCGCTTGCTCACGACGACGTAGTGGCAGACTTTCCCGGCAGCGACGCCGGAAGTCGAGGTCCAAGGCGTGGAAGCTGCCGCGTGCTTGAGCCGCCGGAGGTTCCGGAGAAAAGCGTCGACGGCGGTACCGGTAGTAGATGCCGAAGGAGACGAAGCCCTCGTCGTGGAGTGCGTCGAAGATGGTCATTGCGGGAGCCCCGCCACCAAAGTGTTTTGGTGTCGTTGCGACGAGGCCGTGGGAGGTGGCGGAGTGCACGAACACCGGTTGGGCTGCGTCGACACCGGGTTCTACGTGAACCACCGGTCGCACACGGTGAACTCCTTCACCGGCTCGCGGTACACGGCACGCAGCGTCGGGCGGAACCGCTCATGACGGTGCCGGACATGCCGGCTTTCTCCTTCTCCGCCTGCTGCGCGAAGCCGGTCATGGGCGGCGCTGGCACGCCCGGCGGGGTGATGGGCGTTGTGGCGGCGTCGATGAAGGGTGTCCCGTACACCTGCGCGAAGCCGGTCATGGGCGGCGCTAGCAGTGAGTAGCAGAGAGGGGAGCTAACGAGCAAGCTGCGTGGAGGAGGCGAACAAGCTGATCGAAGCGTACAACGGTAGGCTCGCGGCGAGGGTGGACGGCAGCGTGGAGGAGGGGGAGCTGACGAACAGTTGCGGGCGCCGTTGGTCAGCGGAGACGGAGGCGTTAACTTCCACGCTGGCGCGCTGATATGGCATGACATGTCAGCGAAAATGGCAAAATATTAGTCTGGTTACTGTTTTCTCGGGTAATTTTGTAATTGGCACGATAAAGTTGACAAATGGAGAGACAGCCACCATAAGAGTGGCAAATAGTTAGATATACCAGCTGGGTGAGACGTGGAGTATTGGCGTGAAGGAATGCGGGCAAAAGAGAGATTAGGTAGAGTGGCAAATAGTTAGATATCCCAGCTGGGTGAGACGTGGAGTATTGGCGTGAAGGAATGCGGGCAAAAGAGAGATTAGGTTAGGGAGGGGATGAGCTGGCCTGTACCGATGATGACCATGTTTGGCCTTCTGGCTTCTGGTTCTCGTATAAAAGAGGCCCACGAAACTATTGTCCACGTGATCCAGACAGTTCCTAAAGCAAAGCAGCAAAACTGATCACATGGACTGACAGGCAACAAAGGTAAACGACTGCAACGGAATTGAGAGATTAAAGACACGCACAAGGGTTAAAGAACTAGTCTGGAGTTAAACGAAGCCAACCTCCTCTATATTATATTAGGGTATGGGATCACACATACAACACATATATAACCGCCCTTTGATGCTCTACATTATCTCATTGTGTACAAAAGAATATCCTCCTCAAATATCAAGTCTCCTCTATGTCATCTAGCATCTATAATTTTTATGACCAAATATTAACGTTGCTACTCTTGGCGCAACATATGCCCAATATAACATGAGAATCATGTAAACCTAATCCAGATACCGTCTGGAAACATAGGCGACATGCGTCTGGTCTTCAGAATGCTCTAACTAGCAGGAGCCAATTACGATCCTGCTATGCTTCCAAAGCTGTGAAGACTGGTGCCAACCTGTAAGCTCCTTCATGGACACTTTCTGGGCCTCCTGGAGTTCAGGAAAAATCATGCACATAGCCAAGATATAGCAGTTTATTAGTCGCGAGCCGCCTTGTTTCTCCAAGCAGCAATGGGCTTTGGAATGTTGTCAAAACGAGGGATGGGGAGAGGAAGAGCAAAAGCATCTGTATTTATGCTCCACTTGCTCGCTGACCATATGGATGAACTTGTGTTGGTTTCTGGCTCCTGGAACTCTGGAGTGCTGGATGATTTCCTTACAGTTTGCACACCATTGCCAAACAAAGGCTCTGCCATTACAAAAAGATTCTGCTGACTCTTGTTCATGTCTGGTCGATTGCTAGACTTTGGCCTCAGTGCCAAGCCTTTTCCAGCGCTTGCCAGAAAGTCACCACCATTTTCCTCCCTCGGTAACAGCTCACCATCAGCTTTCTGGCGCCGCCTTATAAACCTTTCACTATCACCATTCTCATCGGTATCACCATCAAGAGAAGAACCTATCATCAAGCTTCTGGTTTTCCTATTCTGAAGAGGGAATGGGTCGGAATTTGGTGGCTCCAGCCACGGCTCAACATCCAATAAAGCAGATTTGCCTTTACTGTAAACTGTCATCTCAGTGCCTTCACTTGTTTGATCTCTCTTTGGAGGTGGTGCAAGGCCATAGTATCCCTGCAGAAGACTCATAGCTGGTGAAACTTTGGGCTTTGGTGTTTTCAATATTGAATCCAAGATATCTTCGTGAATGCGGCGTGGAGTGCATTCCCTGAAACGACAATATTATTATGTCATGTAAGGCGTATCATAGAAATAGCAAAAATGGCCTGGAGAAGATTTTATACGATGTAATTAACTATAATTATTGTGGAAAGCCTTAGACTCGACAAGCGAGAAACAAGAAGCATTTGCTGCAATAGCAACTAGAGAGAGAGGCTAAGAATTTGGGTGCATAACTCTGAAAACACTGCCACTGTATTCACCCAAAACGTCTCACAAATGTCAAATGTCTGAAGTACATCTACTTTGTGACATTATTTTAGACATGTACAGATCATAAATGCTTCAATGCTTGAAGGAGATTACCACAGCCACATAAGCAGAAGACAACTAAGATGTATTTGCATAGTGGTTCACATGAACCATAAGCTCCTATAGTGCTCTTCACATGTCGACTACTTTATGTCCATAGCTAATACTGCAGTCACACGAAGACAGCTTAAAATTGCCAACATAAATATGCTAAACCGTCTTAGATATGCCACATGAATGTTCATACAGTCAGACCCAAAATATCAAGTTATATGCCCACTCAATTGATTAGCTGCATGTCACTAAAGAAAAAAATGGCTACAGAAAGATTCAAGGACTCAAGACTCCTTTGGTTAAAGGGTGTACAAATTGCTGACAGCTCCAACACAAGGTTATTGTGCATGCATATTTAGTTCAAATCAATTTTTCCAAAACAAACCGAATCGAACTCCAGTGCGTGGGGTGGCAGGTACCTAACAGGCCAAATCATCTGGATAGTACAGCAGACCAAAACAACTCAAATAACTAAATATTAAATGTATAAAAGGGAATAGCTAAAGGAAAACCGCTGCTTGCATTGAACGCGGAAACAGGACACGACAAAAAGCTTAATAACTCTAGCTGCATGTTTAGATTGCAGCAAACGTGGCAAGTCGTTTTTAATATTTTATACATCTAGGGTAACGTATTACTACCACATCCGTAATTCAAAACCTCTCTGGGACTAGCAGGTGTGAGAGGACTTCATAATTTATTTTCAGTTTAGCTTCTCTCTCCAATAACAGATCTCAAAGCAACCTCAATAATTGATGTGATGGGAAAACGTTTCCCCTGGTTGTAGAAAGGTTTTTTTTTTTTTTGGCAACAACCATGCAGTTGAAACTTGAAATGATAAGAAACATCTTGCATGAGACTACAAGGCTAAGCTTCCTTTTCAGTTCCTATTTCAAGTTGTATTACACACAATGGTTTCACGTGGCAATAGTTGAAGGCATGTATTCAACCACATTGCACTAGTGCCCTAGTCTGACCTTGATCTTGACATGCATCTCCTGAGTGAACTTGTATCGACTCTTTAAATAACTAGTGATTAACTGATTATCACTTATAATACCAAAAAAAAAATCAAATGCTTGATCAGAAACACACAACATGAGACACACTGGTAACATGGTTTATGTAGCATGCCATGCTGATGCTCGGTACAATTTCAGTCTAGCTACCTGTCGTCACTCTCATATGAACCATTCTGCTGGTAAGGCGACGGAGGGTGCCTCCCTGGGAGTGGAATCCGCAGTGTCTTGTGTGCAAACATCTGGAGGTCAGTTGAGAGGCCGTTCAGCCTCTTAATGTCGGCTACCTGCACAATACGAAATTCCAAAATCAGTTCACCAAAGATACAAAATAGAAAGGAGTTCCACCCAGAACAGCTACCAAGTTAAAGAAAGAATGCTGCTGTTTAATATCCCATCTGATACTCCAATATAATATTAAAACCAGAGGCCCTAAATAATACACAGCAGCACATCACTCCCATCGCATTTTACCTCGACGCCGTACTTGATGGCGACGCCCGCTAGGGTGTCCAGCTTGCGCACCCGGTGTAGAATGTACTGCCCGCACGACGACATCGCCGCCGCCGGCGACGACGCCGACGGGGACGACGACTGCGAGGACGACGACTGCTCGACGGCTACGGTGGCCGCAGCGCCCACCTCCTCGATCTCGCCGCCGAGGCCGCGGGCCCCACCGTCCAAGGACCCATTGGTGCGCGGGAAGGCGGGGTCCTTGGGCAAATGGGGGCGGCTCATGACATCCGGAAGCGCGGAGGGGGGAGATCTGAGCGCGGACGGCGAAGATTCGGGGCGGCGCCCCCGCCAATTCGCCGTCGGTGGCGGCGGCGGGGGATACGGCGTAGGAGATGGTGCGAGGAATCGGCGAGGAGAGAGAGGAGGGGGAAGGGTGGGAGGGAGGGGAGAGGGGAGCTCTCGCAGGTTTGGTTCCTTTGACGCAGTCACGCAGCTCGGGGAAGAAGGAAGGGGGGCGCCGCGCTACAAACGTGGCGCATGGGAAGTACCCCCGTATGCGCTTCTGACGTTTTTAATCGCGTCATCATCGTAAATAAAATATTGAAAATAATCTCCATTTCTATCTTTTTTTTTTTGGAACATCCATTACTATCTATTTGAAAAATGGAGGCTTCCACCTAAGGTCTGATTTGGATGCGTATGTATTCATCTCAATCCACATATGTTGAAGTGGATTGAAGTGAAATTAAATTAAATTCTATTCTATTCCACTCTAACCCACGTGGATTAAGATGGATACACGTGCATCCAAACAAACCTAAAATCGATGATCCCTTGGTGTTTGAAATGGTCCCTTCATCTTAAAGAAAACCATTGTACCAAAATGTAGCAGCAGGAAGTTAGAGAACCATTGAACCAAGCTCACATAGCCTTCGTCTTTTTATTCTTCCTCCTTCAGCAGTGTTCTCTATCCTCACCATGACTAGGCCCGCCCAACTTCCATGTTTGATTGTTTTGGCGAAGGAGAAAAATCATTCATCTGTGTCTGTTGTTTACCAGTTGTGTTGTCACAGGGACACAGGGCCATGTATGGCTAGGGATGCAACATTGTGCGTAGTTCTAGGTCACTTGACTGTACAATCATCTATATTATTTTATTTGAATGGCTTCCATGGATCCACCGTTGACCAAATGACGCACAGAAAACAAGCAAAGGTGGCACCAAGCCCACACAATCTTATCTCGATCCAAGCAAGCAATAGCCCCTTTGTTTTCAAAGCAACAACGTAATTAGGACGTGTTTGGTTGCAGCCTAAAATTTTACATGGACAGAACCAATTTTGTTTGTCATGTGTTTAGTTTTTTTTTTAGAAACTTGTCATGTGTTTAGTTAGAGGCCTCGACAACGTTCTGAATAGGCAACTACTTCCTCTACTAGACCATCAAAACTAAGTGTCTAACATTTGTGCGTTATCGTGGGCTCTAGTCATTGTGGTTACTATAAAATATTTTGCACAGCTCTACCGGTCAAATTTCTCTCTTAGTGTTCTCTTCCCATCTTTCTGATAAATCTCTAATTTGCCATCAAGCCGTGTTAGATAATCCACATTGTATAGCTTATAATAAGCAAAAATATAAGCAAGAACAAATCCAAAAAAGAATGAGAATTCTAACAAAACCAACAAGAAGTTGGGATGCTGACGTGGTTGACTCCACTAGTCACCTACCCCAAGGTTAATCGGATTGTCCATCTTTGTCGACAACAACTTGCACCGATCAGACATAATGTTGCCTTGTGAAAATAGGTGGTCGATAAAGATGGATGAAATGAAGAAAAGTTCATCTAATAAGAAACACATAGAGATAAATATGTTTTCCTCTTTACTAAAGCAATACTCGTGTGGTTGTAACATGTCTTTTTTTTTTTGTTAGCATACTACCGGGCAAAGTAAAATAAAATCAACGCACTCAAGTTGCAACAAACGTGCTCTAAAGACCTGGAGCAAGCCAACCACGTGACACTTCGAAGCCCCATAGGTTTTATCAAAATGTGCCTAACCCCCTTCATAAATTTTGCAATTATATAATTATATATTCATTACATAATGTTTGTGTTAATTGACTTAAAATCAACAAGCTTGGTCCTTGAGTTTTGAATCTTGGGTGGTTCTATGGTCAAATGAAAGTTTTTTCGAAAACGTCCCGTCCGGATGCGGCTCCTGCGCAGCGAACCGACCTCTCACAAAAAAAATTCCCACTCCGCTCATCCACCCGCCGCGGCGTGGATGAGCATTTCCAGGCCGCTCATTTGTTCGCCCCGCCGCGCCCCCTTCCCCACCGCGCCGCGTCCCCCGTCGTGGCGTCGCACCGTGCAATTCCCCCTACCGCGCCGCACCCTATCGTCAGCTGCGGCGTGCCCCATCCCCTGCGAGCGGACGACGCTAGACGACTGCGGTCGAGCGAGCAGCGGCGCTGGAGTAGCAGCAACAGGGCCACGTTGATGGGCACGAGCAGGCATTGGAGAATCGCAAGAGGGCCGCGCCGCTACTGCATCGACAAGCTCCATGCGCCGCCGCCAACCTCCGCGCTGGCGTCGAGCTCCGCAATGACGAGTGTCCATTCGTCCAAGCAGCAAGGTGACATTGCGCTGAAAGTGCACGTTGCAAGCATATGTTTCAAGTGTTTCAGATGTTTCGTAGATATGTTGCATGTGTTTTATGCGGATGTTGCAAAAGTATATTGGAATGTTGCATATGTTGCAATAGTTGTACACGTATATTGCAAGCTTTTGTTTCTAATGTTTTATCTGTTTTTTCCAGGCCTATGTTGCAAGTATGTTTGTTTTGATGTTGCATATGTTTCACACATATGTTGCAAGTGTTTTATCTGCGGCGTATGTTTTATAATTATTTTAAGTGTTTTTTATGTGTTTCAGATACATGTTTCAAGTGTTTCATCTATCTTTAGACGTATGTTGCAAATGTTGCATTTGCATATTTCAAAAATAGATCAAATGTTGCATCTTCCTCCTCGCTTTCTGCTGCATCGCTTCGGTGTCTCTTCCTCCTCCCGGCGCCGGTTAGACATCTGCCGCCCCATCCCCCTCTTCTCGATGCTAGGGGCAACATGGGCCCAACGTGGACGCACGAAACAGCTACATGCGTAGGCGTCCAGATGCTACGAACATCAAAACATCCGGACGCTAGCAAGCCCTAAGTTTTTTTTAATAAAGATACTCAAAAGAGCGTCTGATCTTAAATCAATATGCTAGATAAAAAAGAACTAATTTCTTTCTTCTAAATTATAAGAGTGAAAGGGAGTAGTGACCAGGCCATAAATATCTAAGAAAACAGTGGTCAGTACTCCCTCCGTTCCAAATTATAAGTTGCTTTGACTTTTTTGGTACATCAATTTTATTATGCATCGCTTTGACTTTTTTGTATATCTATTTTACATACCAAATAAGTCAAAGCAACTTATAATTTTAAACGGAGGAGTACAAAAGAAAATAACCTCTAAAAATAATAGTACATCAAAAAAACAGTTTGGCCATCTTCGTCCACAGCCTCCCCGAGCTTCAAAAATCACACTAAAAAGACACTAAGCCCTCGCCATACAAGGTCTTGAACACCACGAAAACTACACACCACTTGCAACGAGATGAACTACGCACTGAAGGAACATTGGTTTAAGAAAATTCGCAAGAACGCAGGCTCACAGTCCTTCACTATCATAAGTCAACCAATTAACATTTACTTCTCCCAATAAACACACACCAAATCTAAAGAGAGCCGACAGACCTAACAGATCTTACCGGTCCTTCGTATAACACAGCCATTGTAAATACGGCTATCATTTACGTGCGAGTGCGAAACAAGTGAAGTGAGACACACGACGAGTCGGTTAATAGCTTACCTCTTGCTGCAGCGACAGCACAGCCTTTTTGCTACCCTTGCTTGTTGCAGAGGAGCTTAAAAAAAAGAGTGCTTGCGTAAGAAAAGGCAAACAAACTTCAACATATTAATATCTGTGCAAGTGTAACCGTGTTGGGTTGCACGCCTCTGCTGCTGATTGCGACATGTACAAATATGATGGCCACTGTTTGATCACGCTACACAACCATTGCTCGTACTATTTCACGTACTGACTATGCATGTATGAAAACTGCCAAGATGCTCTCAAAATCCTAAATTATTTGCGACTGCATAACTTTACATCTTTGAGGTGCTTTAGTTTTACTTTGCTCAGAGAAACACAGGAACTGGCGGTTTTATGCCTCGGTCTCAAGTTGTTGACCTGGTGGGCAAGCAGACCAGAAGTGGAACGAGTATGATGCGCCCACGGCTCACCCATGTTGGCAGGATTCTGTTCCTCTTCCTGCGACTGCGAGCTCTTTTCCACCCTTATGGCGGGTTTTCAGAGTGGATGGAGATGCCATTTGATTCATGCCAGGTGCCCTGTTCTCCAAAATATCTGTCCTCAGAAAATATAATGCCAGGCAAGTCCGGTTTGCTCCAAATGCACCTATGCTGAAATAAGAATGGCCTGCTAAGAGGTGCAAGAAATCTAAGTTAAGTTTGATGCGCTATGAAGATGGTAGGCAGGTGTAACTTCAGAGTACAGCAAAAAGCACAGTAGCACAGGACTACACGACCCCTGAACATAAACTGACCTAAAACCTACAGGCCTCAACTCTCTCTGGTCATGGACTCGTGTGTCATGCCATAATAGCTAGCAACACTACACACATGAGCAAAAATATTACTCCCTCCATTCCAAATTATAAGACATTGTGGCTTTTCTAGATGCACTTAGAAGGGCGTACCCAGTGCAGCTCCCGCTCTGTGCGGGGTCTGGGGAAGGGTGTTAGTGGCAAGCCTTACCCTCGCCTGTGCAATGCGAGGAGACCGCAACTCGAACCCGGGACCTTCCGGTCACAGGCGGTAAGACTCTACCGCTTGCACCAGGCCCGCCCTTCATTACACTGTCTACCAATGTATATAGAAAAACCAAAACGTCTTATAATTTGAAACGGATAGTATAAAGCAGGCAAAATGCAGGGAGTAAGAGCAGTTTCTGATCAAGAGTCTCAACAGTTAAACTACAAACTGCTCTTCACCATATGGCACAATTCCTTCTAGTGTTTGTTCACTTGAATGAATGGCAGAAAAGTACAGCGGAACACATGAATAAATGACAGGTCTGGAAAAGCTACTCAAGTATCGTATTGAATGATCTTAGAGCTACTCCCTCCATTCCAAATTATAAGGTGCTTTGGCTTT